GTCTCCGCTTCCCTCTACCCCTTGTGGCTCTCAATAAGTTTCGTGTCTCCGCCAACTCCCCCAGACCACGTTCTGTCATCTATTTGCTTAAGCCCGCCACGTATATCATGCGTTGCTTTCCCTTGTCTCTTTTCCCCTCTATTCGACCTGTGAGTATCAGATTCTCTAGGCCCTCCTCTCTTATTCCGTGTCCCGGAAATTTCAGCTGGTTCTTCTTGATGTTAGGTATAAGCTTTCTCCTTGTTTGCATCCTCTCCAAAACATCAACATTGCTCACATGTTCGGACTATGGTATCCTTTGCATCCTTCTGTAGAGGCATACTCTTTTGCCTCGAGTCTCTTCTTCATCTTTGAGGAGACCGTTCAACATTCGCTGCCGTATTGGATGACAGATGTCACGTAGCTGCTTAGTACTTTTTTCTTTGTCACCAAAGAAACCCTCCTATCTCACAGTACTCTGCCCAGCTATTGGAATTCATCCTTGGCCATCCCAATCCGTCTTCGGATCTCAGCGTCGCAACTACCGTCCTCCGTCAAAACGCTTCTCAGATATTTAAACTTCCGCACATGCTTGATTTTAATGCCCCCAAACTGCAAATCGAATTTCGGGCTCATTCTTTTACTAATGACCATGAAATCAAGTGTTTTTTTTTCCGTTATAAGGCCCTTTCTAACAGGACGTGAAGGACGTTGCTAATGTCAAGTCTTCTGAGGCCCATGAAATCAATTCAGGCGCCCGCCAAGGATAGCTTCCTAGTCATACTCTCTGCTTTATATTTAAGCACCTAACAGCATACACCAATATTTTATGGGTGCACCTCCTAAAGTCTAGCTCAAGCATAGCTTGAAAACTGATCTCTTCTCTGGACTAGCACTAACAGATCAATGGAAAATAAAACTAGGGTGGTCACATTCAATAACTCAAAAATCGAACTAGTCAAGATCCATTATCGCTGAGCAAACCCTGAATTTTCGACTATTGTGATGAACATATATTCTACTGAGATCCCTCGCATTGAACGTCTTTTGAGACTTAAGCTTACCCCGGTCTTCAAATGGAACTTCTGTATACGACCCATTGCTAAAGGTTCCGGAAATATGGTCGGTTCTTGCACCACATTAGTAAAAATCTGACCCCACCCTTTATATTCTACTTTCACAGGAACCATGTAGAACAAAAACAATGTTGGACTAGAGGCATATCCTGGCAAGAGTTGTTCCATCTTCACTTTACCGTCTTGGAATAGTTAAAAAAAATAAAAATAAACTTGTAGTCTTCTCGCTACTCTATCCATAATTCCATGGAAAAATGTTCTGAAGCATTACATTCCTTAGTTCCTACAAAAACTAAGTCCGACCATACTAAGTAGACTGAAACAAACATTCATTTCTTATTTCAGTAATAAGAAGAACGTTGAACACAAATACATACGTAGAGGAACGTACTCCCAAAAGGATGCTTTCCGATCGCCACAAAGTTGAGTTATAACCGTTACCTTTCCAACGCATCCTAATAAAACTTCGCTTCTTACTTCTTACTCTTACAGGTGTTAAAACAACATCTTACAGTAACGCTCTTCCTTGAGTGTCTCTTGGGCATTGTGTAAGAGGAACATTCTATAAGAATGTATAATAAAATAAAGTAGTAAATAATATAATAATAACATGATATATATAATATTATTATAATATATAATATTATATATATTACATAAACACGACGTATATATGACAGTTTATTATATCATTCATATATATATATATATATATATATATATATATATATATGATATCGCATATTATCTAGAAAGTCTTATAATTTGTGAGAAAATTTGATTTTACCACACAGAGGTAAGAAGACAGGCTCTTACACATGCGCGCGCACACACACACACACACACACACACACACACACACATATATATATATATATATATATATATATATATATATATATATATATATATATATATATATTCAAATAATATAGACAAGTGTTGTCTATTTATTTTATGTCATTTTTTTCGTAACATTTGCTAAGTTTAATAACATAATAGCAGAATAATCAACAGATACCCCATATCAGCCAAACAATTGAAACCTGAGCATGTGTTGTGTCACTAATAACATCTTTATCAACCGAGAACAACAATTAAAATAATGAAAGGATATTGAAAATCACACAGAAGTGTAATACTAAGAAATGAAATATTTCTTTTAATCTTCCTCGCACGATGTGAAACAACATAATTATTTTTTTAACTCGTTCTAATTTTGTACATATTTGCAGAGTAGACCTCCCTCTCTAACCTATCAAGGAGAAGAAATACTTTGAATCGAAACCAGTTGGATCTCCACATATTGTGACGTGCGAAAAAGAACATTGCATATATGAACTTATTGGCCTTCCAAACATCTCCACATTGCAGCTGATTCCAGGAGGAGTTATCAGTAGGATGGATCTGGGCCAGTGCAATCCCATACATATCTAAGCATTAATACCACATGCGCATATATTTTTTTTCGTAGAAACCAAGAATCACTAACCTTTAGAATGAATAGTGATTTTATTTACATATACACATATACAACCCTACGTTTAAATTAAGTTTTGTTGCTTACATCTGATTGTTAAACTTGGTCATATCATTTCATGAATTATTCAACTTGGCATCTTCGTTCTGATTGGCACCTGTTTTTTTCAAGAACCCCATAAAATCTCTGGCAGTTTAATATTAAATAACCAGGCAAACAACGTTTCCGATATTTTCAGTTGACTTCGGATATATGTTAGGAAAAAAAAGTAAAGAAAGAGGAAAAAAAACACATCATTTGGACAATATATTTATTTCTCTTTTTAATTCATTTGTTGTGTATATTTGCAAATGAATTATGCATTATATTTTATTCTTCGGCTGTATATATATATATATATATATATATATATATATATATATATATATATATATATATATATATGTATATTTTTGTGTGTGTTTGTTTGATAGGCTGATTTATAGCATGATACATGCATTGATACGGGCGGTAGGAATGAAATATCTTGCATATCATTGCAATCTCTTTGTGGTTTGGACACTTGTGCTCTCTTCGTCTCTTCTCTTCTCGCTTTGTTCGTTTCATTGTTTTCCATCAAAAGCGAAATTTCTAAATGATCTAGAAACGCATCGATGTCTGAAGGCAAAGATGTACCACGACTTCCATTCCATTTTCTTCGGTGAAAAAAAAAATCTATTGGTTCAAGTAAATAAATATGTATTGCAATATTCGATCAATCAAAAAAATCAATCGACTAATCATATCATGTTCATCACTGGAAAAATGGTTACCATAAAAGCAATTTTCTGTAGTCGAAAAATTGTTGGCTTAGCAGAATTAGAAAAATAACTGTATTTGTTAGAGTCAAGTCGGAACGTTATATTTCGAACGTTAACTTAATATCTACATAGATCCGAGACTGGATCTGTGTCTCTTTGTAGCCTACTTTTGACAATTGTATTTTTAAAAAGAACACATGTATAAACATTTTATCTGACACATTACAGTCTTTGGTATATGAGACATACTTCCAAGCATGTGTTATATATGTATATATTTTTTACAGATAAATCCCGAGCGGAACAGGGAACCATTTAAGCTATCTTTGCTAATATATAATATACCTTTCTCTTGATTAGAGATAATATTCATTGTCAATGAAAGCATTTTTTTTTTATTTTTCTTATTCAGAAAATACAAAACTGACCTTGTAGGAATAGCAGAACTGTTGACTTTTAAAGTCAGGAAGGAGTTTTTTCTTTCAATGTATCTTTCGATGATAAAGGTATTTCTAATTTTATTTGCGTCCTTTATATTGACTGAGGAAATGGTCATTATTCTAAGGCTTTGAGTTTAAATTTTATATCAGAGCACCTCATTTATTCTATCGTCAAGTTGCGGGAAATATATTAGTTATTCATCGCTGCCAAATTAATTAATCTTTTTTTTAATGTTTTATTGGCACACAAGCGCCCTTTTCCGTTTGATTGTTAAATAGAAGGAAAAAAATACTGAATCATATCTGACCTCTTTTATTTGGTTGTCATTTTTATACGGCAGTTGAGATAGTGGATTTAGACAGCATCGAATAAGTTAACATTACATTGCATGGTGTAATGATAAGGCAGTTGTTCATTTTGACGGACGGTGAAAGCCAGTAGGCTTTCCGCCAACTTATATCCGGGACCAGCAGCGCCCTCTCAGTTTTCGCCATTCACATGTTTCATTTTTGATTTTACTCTTTTGTTTTTAACAAAATGGCTGCTCGACTTTTCTGCTTGCTTCTGCTCTCTCTTCAGATGAACGTCTGAAAATGTAGCGTAGCGCATTTTGGAGTTTGTTTTTTTTTTTTTAATTTTATTCCCGGTTATTTGGAAATCTTTTCATCGCTCTATGTTTTTGGCTGATAATAACGAAGTCGTACTGACCAATAAGGCATTGGCCTGCCAGTGTAGTTTGTAAATCTGGTTCGGCGTCATATTGACACTTGAGACTCGTTTATTGTTCGCTATGTCGGTCGCTTTGGCTTTTTTACTAGTCCAAAAAGAGAACCCCGAATGGGCCACATGACTTATTCCGGTTGCCTGTGCTAGGATCCCCGTCACATATACATCTTCCAGATGGATAAACGGCGATTTTTTAGTCCCTTTCTGTATGCAAAGTTTTTGGACAGCATTACGTGACATAACGTATGCTCCCCCAGATACATATGGAGGATAGGTCTTAGGGGCAAATTCGCTGTATTTAACACCCCAGGGGTCACGAAGATCCCTTTTGACTGGGGATCTTATAGACAAGGCACCCAAAATTTGTTGCTCATCAATTATATTCTCTTTAAGAAGCTTTAACAAGTACCAGACATTAATATATACATCATCGTCAGTTTTCATTATATAATCGGCCATTTGAAGGGCTTCGCTTATCCAACAAAGGCCGCCAATTACCTTCAGGGATAGATTCCTGTAGCTATCAATCACATCAACCTGCAAGATATCTCTATGCAGAGAGTTTTCCTTCTCCATCAAAGAGTTCCAGTAAGGGTCCTCATGTTTACCTACCAAGAAAAGAACCTGGAATTCCTGTCCTCGGGTCGAGCCCCATGTTTCCCGAATAGCTTGGCGGTACTCCAATCTCTCCGGGTGACTACATACTATCACGACGAGGAAGACACTGCCATACTGCGGAAAATTTTGTGGGACAATGCCAACGCTGTTCAACAATGAAGCCGATATATTGACGGAATCCAAAAGACTTTTTCCTGGGAAGGAAGAAAACAAGAGAGAAGAGGCATTAGTGCGAGGCATTTGGTTATGTAAACGGGCATCGTAGTCGTTGCTAGACATTGCCACGCGGGTAAATTTTCTTACCGAATGCGCTCCATTCGCCTCCCATTGCGTTTTAACACCGTGTTGTTCATAATATCTGTACGGTTCATCACCGCTCCGCTGTAGTTCTTCGTGGAAACTAAAACTGACAGACAATAAGAGAATGGTCCCAAATAATCCGGATAGGGAGCATAAAGCCATCGTCCGACGGAGAATAGTTCCGGGAGTACAAGCAAAATAGCAAACGTTTGGGAGCTGTAGATTCTTCATGTTTTCGTTGGGATAAAAAGAAAAATAATGGGATGTATTCTTGAACTGGAATCAAAGGAAAAGACTGAGAAATTAGTGAAGAAGGAAAGGGATCCAATCGAAGAATTCTACAGAATCAAAGAGAATCGGTAGGTTATTTTGAATGTTTTTTTTTTCTTTTGCCGGATACGTGTCGAATTAATCGATAGAACGCCTATTTTTTTTTGGTATGCCAAGAAATCTAAGATACTTATTCTTTGCTTTGACGTTGCCGGGTAACAACGGAGTATATTGATATTTCCTTCTTGGATTTTCACTGATATATTAATGATCTCCTTCCTCTTTTAAGTTGTGAGGCAGAAGATGAAATTGATCTAGCCTTGCGAGCTATCAATATTTTTTTTATGGTTCCCTGCCTCTTGGGTAGATTTACTTTCAAATGTATGCTGAGATCAGTGTTAATTTTTTTTTTCTTTTAATATATAAAAAAATACTTATTTCGCGTGTAAAAACGGATAAACTTTCTGTCTTACTCCTAAAAACAATTAAGATAGTATAGAGAAAAAAAAAATGAAATTATCAAAGATTTTTCATGTTTTCTTCTAGGATATTGTGAAGAATTCCCTCAGACCAATTTTTATGGAATTCACTGATGCATTTTGGTGAGAACGTGTCTTCAGAATTCGATCATTCCTTAACGATTCCACTTGAAGAACATTCGGTTTTGAAATATCGTCTCTTCAAACCTGTAAACAGAAGAAAAGATTTAGATAAGAAAGAGAAAATACTGTTTGGAAATCGCTATATAATTACTTACATATAATTGCTATTAGAGACAGAACTGATCTTTTATAAATAATCGGACGTCGAAGTTTTTCTGTGCGTCCCTATCTTAAATTATAACAAAACAAATAGTATAGTTAATGCAAATTAAATATTTCCCCTAATGTTGTAAACTCCATTTGAAATATATACATATATATGTGTGTGTGTGTGTACGTGTGTTTTGTGTGTGTATGTGTGTTTTGAACAATAAAAATATTGAATAATTAGAAAAAAAAAAAATTCAGACACAATGGGTTGTATATTAATATTTCTTGTTTTATTATTTCAATTAGGTTCTTCGACTAGTTTCGGCCAGTATGGCCATCATCAGGAGAAAATTCCTCATTGTTAGTAGCAGTGAACTACAGGAATGAATGACTTTCTGCAGAAAATGAACTTTGTCTGTAGCTTTCATTTGTTTTTAATCGTTAATTTTATTTAGTCCTTGTGTTAATCAAATGTCCTCTTTTAAGTTGTATTTAAAGATAGAGGCTGGATATATATATATATATATATATATATATATATATATATATATATATATATATATATATATATATAAATATGTATATCAAATGGCATTTACAAGATTAGGGGAATATTTAATTTGCATAACACTTTTTAAAATTATATTTTAATAAATATTTCTTATGTGTTATTTTTTTAACGTAATTTTTTTAAAACTGTCACTTAAATGCAATACTTCAGTCAATAAATATTTTGCTTTTAAATTCATCAAATTTGTAAAAACAGAATTTATATTTTTGTCAAAATTTAATCATAAGCTAATATATATACAGCGTTCATAATAAACACTGTAGTTGGCTGATATGTCATTTTATTACAAATTAGTCGAATAGCCCTGAAAATAAAATTAGGAAATTATCTACGTAAGTCAAAATAATCTGTTTAATTATTTTTAAACTGTTGCCTATCAATCGTTTATGTAAATCAGTGCGTATATATATATATATATATATATATATATATATATATATATATATATATATATATATATATATATATATATATATATATATATATATATATATATATATATATATATATATATATGAATAATATACGTTATTATATATATATATTTATATATATATCTGGATATACTTTACTTTCAAAGCTAAATGAAAATGAAAAATAAATTATGTTCAAATAAAGTTAACAGACAGTGTAAAAGATTCATATGTATCATTTTAGTTTCCTATTTTAACCCCAATTCGGCACAAATCTAACGCGTCTCGTCTAACGATAAGGACTACATTATGGAAGAGTTCCAACAACCCCAATAAATTACACGGGTTCTGGTAAATACTGAATGAAAACTGATAGAAAAACACTTTTGTAAAAAATCTCTGAAAAAAATTCAAAAGAAATCTAACACGTTTATTTTACGGACCTCATGGAAAAATTAAAGAAGCGTCATTTGAAGAATTAACCTGTGAGGAACTTGTGAGGTGGGAAAAGAGGATATGAGTGTGTCATATGTATCATTTTTTATTTCCTATTATAACCCCATTGAGCTCTCTGGATGGATCCTCCTCAGGTCTAACGCATTACCTAAATTTGCATCTAAATATAATATATCTATATATATCTATATATATATATATATATATATATATTTGTTGGATTGATGTGAGATAGGTTTCACTCATTTGGCAGGAAACCCAACAAACTCGCATCAATCCAACCAAATTATCTCTGATATTGTGTAATAAGTACCCGGTATATAATATATAAAATAATATATATATATATATATATATATATAAATATGCATCTCACATATATAAAAATATATATATATATATATATAATATATGTATATATGTATATTGCGTTTGATAAATTGTCGAATAATATAGTCATTTTCCAAGCGTAGCTTAGATGTCACGGCCGAATTTAGAGAAATGAAACCACTGTTCAGTCAACTTGTTCCTAACTAACCATTAACCGCCTCGAGGTGCCCTTGTCCAATATTTTTTCGCTATATATATATATAATATATATATATATATATATATATATATATATATATATATATATATATTATATATATATATATATATATATATATATATATATATATATATATATATATATATATATATATATATATATATATATATGCAATGAAGGTCAACACAAAGTTTGTTTCATGCTACACCACAATCTTCAGGGCATGTGTGTTGCATTTTGGATCGACTATTTATATACGCTGGTCAATGGTAAACTATGGTTAGTAGTGTCTATTGTATTATTCTGACGATTCTTGTTTTGGTGGTAAGTGATATTCTAGAGTTTAATGAGTCGGAAGAATTGTGGAGGAGAATCTGATTATTTTTTAAAATTTTATTCATGAATTTCAAGAAAGCTAGAGTCCAATAACATTCAGAATCAGTAAGCATTCCCTGTTTACGGGATCTGGTATACAAGGACTCTAGAACCTTGAGGTGATATGAGGAGTGGGACCTAGATAAAATCAAGAAATTCACTTTTTTCCTTTCTTCCATTCATTATATTAATTAAATTTACACGCTTATATATTTTTATATCCCAGAAAATAAACTTGATAAGGCTGGGACGAAACCGGCTGTTTTTTTAGCTTTTTAAATGTCATATAAATTTTGCTTATTCTTAGCTATCGTTAAATTTTGTACCATAAAAAAAATTATTGAAATATATATATATATATATATATATATATATATATATATATATAACACACTAAAAGGAACTGCCACCTCTGCCGTATTTAACTGCAATATACGAAACATATATATATATATATATATATATATATATATATATATATATATATATATATATATATGACTTAAAACCGATGACAATTAAACCGATAAAACAAAGTAAAAATAATATACAAACGATATATAGCGATGATCGAGAGAAAAAAACCGTCTATAAATACACTATGTACGTGCTTTGATTCCGATTAAAATATATAATATGCGAAATATTCATGTAAAAATAAAATTTTTAAAAAATGAGAAGAGAAGATATATATATATATATATATATATATATATATATATATATATATATATCATTAGGATTAGAGTTGAAACTGGATGTCTTAGTAGGTCACTGTCCACCTGAGATTTGACTTAAAGTACATTATATCGCTGCTATTTTTATGGCATTCGGCAATCTTTTTTTCCAGTGTGCAGTCTTGGGCAGACTCATTTTGCAACTGGTTATCCTTATCTCTAATTGTAAATGCTCTCTCCTTTATATATATATCTATATATATATATATATATATATATATATATATATATATATATATATATATATATTAATTTTTCGTTTCATCTTCTGGAAATATATATATATATATATATCGTCGTCCAGAAAGAAAAAAATAAATACATATATATATATATATATATATATATATATATATATATATATATAAACAGACCTTCCATATATATATATATATATATATATATATATGTATAAACACCCACTTCAAGTGTATTTGAACAGCAAGTCCAAAGCATTTGTTTCTGTTATTCACGGAAGTCATTTGGGTTTAAAATAAAATTATTAATATTTGACAAGAGTTGAGAATTTCACTTTTTATTTCCTGTTATTTACATTTAGTCGCGTTAAACAGTTTAGGACATGTCACTTTTTGTATCAGATCACCCCATTTTTAGGTGAGGAAAACGTAAAAGAAAAGATAGTCTTAAAGGAAATAATATTTAATATTTGGTTGCATATCCTTTGCTTGAAATATCTGCATCAGGCCCGCTACCCATTGTTATGACCAAACAGTTGCTTCTTTATTTGTCATACTTTTCAAGACATTTAACGCATCCTCTTTTAATTCTAGCTTGTTTCGATGGGGGGGGGCGTTCTTCCGTCATTCTCCTTTACAAAAAAAAAAAAACTGTTCAACGAAAGTGATCGATAAAAGGAAAATCGGTTGATGCAAAGTCAGAGTGGTGGAGTACAACAGACCAACCCAGTTCCTCTTTTTTGTTTTGTGTTATTCTTGCTGTATACTGTGTGACGTTCTATCGGAGGACAACAACTTTCTATATAACGTGTCATTTCAGGACGCAGGCGATCATAGCTCT